TGTGGGATGCAGTTGAGTATACAGGTGAAGGTGTGTGTGGGGTGCAGTTGAGTATACAGGTGAAGGTGTGTGTGGGACTGGAAGGTGAGGGCAGAGAAGCAGACCGAGTGTAGTGGCGAAGAGTTCAACCTGGGTTGGATTAGAAAATGTAAGGGACATAATCTTCACTGCATGAGCACCAACAACTTTACCCGTGCCACATGCGGCACACTGCCACTGTTCGCGGCTCACCAATCGGACCCCCCCAGTGAGTGAATTAAGAAGGCAAATACAGAAGCATGGAATTACGTGACATCTGTCTATTTCCGCCTTGCGCATATACAAATGAGAAATGTAAAATTGCTAATTAATGTTGCCGATGCAAACTTTATTTCATGTTGATGCCATGTGCAAGTGAATTCGTGATGGCCTAGTGAAGCACGCGGAACGGTGTTTCCACACGCACGACTGCATGCTAATGAGCATGTATTTTCTCGCGTGCTAATTGCGTAAAACGCACCATTGAGTTTGCTTAACATGGAGATAACATTACAATACAAAAAACTACAATAGTTGAAGCAAGTGTAAAAATAACCTATGTATCTCGGCTCAAAGATACCTTGGATGGATAATTTGTATGTTTCGCTCGTGAAAGGAATTCTACATTCCTATGGCCGGTATCAGTTCATCTCGAGGCTCGTTACAGGACACCCACTGTTGACTTACAACGGAGAGGTGAAGCTGTGCTAGTGGGTGCTCAAAGTATTAACCTATGCAGCATGAAGGGATGAGTTTGCCCTGGCAGGGATTTAATTTCACCATCTCGTGATTGGGAGGCCTACTCATGACGATTACGAAAACAATAAAAGCAATGGTTTTCATGATTCTTCCGAATTATTCTTGTCAACGCAAATCACCACATCACAATGAACATTAAACACACATGAATCACTAGTCCTTACACATATCGCAGTTTCCACTCAAGCGTGAGAATCCGCGCCACATCGCCAGGCCGCACTCACTGTGAGCCTCGTCTCCTCCCGTGGCACCTTCCTCCAGTCCCTGCAGAACTTGCCTCGGCTCACCTCCACCACGTGTCCCACCATCAACGCAAGTTAATTAACATATCCGGAACCACTCCGGTTGTGATGGAAATGTGAGCGATCACCTCCTGTTTGGTCGTGAGAGAGGTAGAGCCAACAATACGCAGTCTCCTGCTGCAGCGTTTTCATTTGAAGGCCAGGTCTACTCTTAATGTCACATTCCCTCGCATGCGTAGAGGCAAAATGACGAAGACTGGAGAATGTTGCAATTTCATTTGACACTTCATGGCGAAATGTGCTTATCAAAATGCAAGTGAGTGTTGCAAGAGCAGCAGTGGTGTGTCCAGTTGTGTTGGCTCTCAGTGTTATTAAGAGAGACATTGTGCTCACTAGAGCACCTGTAATAGAGCAGTGCGTATCGTGTGTACTCGGTGAACTCTTTGAAGCTTGCTTAACATTACAATGGGTCAGAAATTCTGTATTTATGATTGAGTCTGCAGGGAATTCTCAATAGTTTGTGTGCACTATAAAAAGCAGTGGTTATTTTATATTAAATAAAATGCATTCATTTTCAATCAATAAATTAATGTTTTTACTTGAGAAAGTCCTTTATTCTATATTTTATACGCACGAGATTGTATTGACTCATAAAACTGCTTGTTGCAAGAGAGGAGTGTAGGTTTCATTTAAGTGAGATTTAATTAATTAAATCTACAATTGTGCTTTGCAGAATGTCCTTTTTACATTGCAAGCAATTTGCAATGTAGACATTTTAATTCACAATGCATAAAATGACTTATTTGAATGATTTAAATGATTTCAAATTGAGTGTTTTTTTTCTCTCAAAGAGAAGCCTAATTTTCATCTCGAAAATAATAATCTTGATTTTGATTGTTATCTTGAATAAAGCTTTTATCTAACTTTCCATGAATACAATGCAGTATTTTGGGCCACTGTGTTGTCTTGGTAAGTTCTCAAACAATGCTTTATTATTGTACACATTACTATAAAAGGTAAAATTGCTCAGCCTCTATTTATATTATAAATGTTGAAAGGTGATATTTTTAGAATTTCAAAGAGAGGCATTTTCTATGGTACCCTTAAAGGCCATGATCCACCAGGTTAAAATGTAAAAAAGACATGAATTAGATATTTTGAAATCCTCTCAAATATTGCCATAAATACAGGAGGCGTTAAGATGTTTAAACACCAAATACACACACACACATTACAAGGCAGCAGGCCTGAATTAACCACACATGTGTGTTAACACATGCAAACAAATTTGCTTTGATAATGTAAGCATAATCCTTGACACTAATTGCCCTACACTAGAGAGCCTCTGTTACGGCTTTGTCCCACGAGTGCTATAGACCAAAGGCTCCCAAAAGGCAGTGGCATGTGTGGTTAATGCAGATTTGATGCCTTATAATAGGTGTCTAATTGTAGTTTGAACATCTTAACACCTCCTGTATTGATGTCAGAAAGGGTAAAGCCTTTAATTATTATTATTATCCAATATCTTGATACTGAAAATGGTTCCCAAATATAATTTACGACGGGGTGGGTGGCCAGCACCACGCCCGGCCGCCTTTGTCTCCCCAGTGGCGATGTTCACACCCCACACCAGTTAATTGTTTGAGGCTGAGTCGACCTAGGGGAGGCTCAGGACCGGTTAAAATAATCGTCACTGGTGGTGGCCGTGAGCGGGAATCGATCTCGGGTCGCCGGGTTCGTAGCGCAGCGCGCTACCTGCTACACTACAATGCGTTACGCTTCCACATGCGCGGGTCACGTGACAATAAAAGTGTATTTTTATAATGTTTGCATGGTGTACAGTTTCGTATACATTTGTGGCTCTGGCTGGCTGCAGTGTGCTGCTCTGCATCCTGACGGAGCCTTCTCTCCCGCAAGGTTCATGGTTGTTTTTAATGAGCCTTCTCTCCCGCAAGGTTCATGGTTGTTTTTAATGAGCAAAGCAGTGTCGGAAAGGTGTCACACGTGGTCAGGTCGGCACGCCAGCTCTTGTGCAGCCAGTTGTGACGCAGCTGGGACACCGGCACATTCTAAATGACACGTGTGTTCCTTGTTCTCGTATCGATTGTGCCCACATTGTGGATCAGGTGCACTGCTGCCTGTCCCAGCGCTGGCGACAAGCAAAGTGCTCGCGTGGATTGCGAGGCAGTCAATGTCATGGATGGTGGCCGTTTTTGTTTGCCGAAAATCTTCCACTCACGTAAAAATATATATCAAAATGTGTGCCACGATAAAGTGATTCGAATATAGAATGCTATGATTGTCTCGTGTTCTTACAGGCCTTTAAGTGAAAAGTCACGCTGCATTCTTTATTACACATATATGATGGTAAATACACATAGCTATTTTATATAATATATTTGCATCTAGGAGTATTTTAAAGGATCTAAAAGGCCACTTTCTTTCGTTTAGAAGATGTTGAGTAATATAGAGTACTTTTTTTTCTAAATGACTCAATCTTAGACGGAGTTAACTTTGTACGTCTGGAAATGTATTAAAACGCATGTCGATTATGTAAATTAATATAGCTATAGAAAACATTGAGGCGCACGCTCCTTTAAAAGCAATAGAATGTTGCAGGGTATGTGACGAGGTCATGATGAGAGTAACAATGGCAAACAAAGTGAGTGACCATTGCGTTAATTTTAAAGGCCACCTTAAATGGCCTCCAGTGGAATCAAGTGCGCAGAGAAGCGTTTACAGCCCTGAGCCAGTGGTGTTCATTTCACATTCCCATGTCAGGGATGAGGGAAACCATGAAACTATCATTGCCGACTTCCTTTAACTGGACTCTTTTATGACCCCAGAGTGTTGAAGGGCTGAGCTGATCTACAAATTGGATTTTAACCTGCAGCCTCTGATTGTGTCAGCTATGCACTCTAACCCCGTATGCTACCGGCAAAATTATTTGTTAGCCTCCACGTATTTTCTGATGTAATATTGATGGTGATATATTAAAAATAGCATCTTGAATAATGACAGGAGTGATAAATGCATATTTCTAAATTCACATTTCTAAAACTTGGCAGTGGCCTTTGTGCTTCAGTAAATCAATTGTGCATAATCGGTAATAGCAATAAATAATTACATTTTATACAGCAACATTACTGTCGTGTTCATAGTCATTATCCCCATAGCGTCAATGTAGATAAACGTCCCTTGAGCCAATTTGTAGCAAAAGATAATAAAATCAAAGTATAAAATAGAAATATTAACGTTCTACATTGCAGGCAATGCGATTGTGCTACAGGTTTTAAAAGCTGTGTGAAATGTTTATAGATTTGATATATAATGAATGTATTTATATGTTTCAGACTACAGTGTATATATTATTCTCCAATCACTTTACTTTGTGTTTTTTGACATATCATTGTAATTACACTGATTCTTCATTAGGACTTTTTCGAGAGATGTATATGTTCAATACAAGCTTGACGTATGAACATTTCATAACATTTACAAAGGGCGTATAAAGATGTATTTATATAAAATGCAATATCTGTACGTTTGGTCTAATATGTGATTAACAATAAAACCATTGTGTCCAATACGAAGTGATGCAGTCACACAGCATAATAAACAATCCACAATGACAGTTTTAAACGAGGGTTACACATTTGAGGAGAGTATTATGACACTTTGCCAGTGTCCATAGACACATTCCCTTCATTACATTGAACACCTTAGTGATGATGTATGTTATCTAATTAAAAATGCCATCAAAGCTTTGGCTATATTTAACTCTTGATACCTATGGTCCCAGACGAATGTGTATTGGGGCTTGGTTAGAATATGTAAATATGGATTGATATTTACCCATGAAGGCATGGTCACATGTACTCGGCAGTCGCCAAGGATGATTATAAAACGCACATCATGTCGCCTGTTTACATCGCTCTCCTTGACAACACGCATCGGCATCGGCGGGTGACGGGTCTGTAGTTCAGTACATCATTGCACGAAAGTGAACCTTGGCGGCAGGTCAAAATGAATCCGTTTCAACCTGCCCCTTGTTCCTCGACGAATCCGAGTGGATCTCCTTTTTGTTTTCTGCCGAATTGCGGTGGACTTGCGTTTTATTCCCCGCCGCGGCAGATTTGCTCTTCAGGTCTTCGTTGGATTCATTGGACGCGTCCTTCAAGAAGAAACACTGCCACGGCGTGCACACCACGAGCAAGATCCGCTTGTACTCGCGCCTGAAGTTGTGGTTGAGCAGTCCGTACACGACGGCGTTGAGGCAACTGTTGAAGTAAGCCAGAAAGTAGCTCGCCACAAACAGCCACCCGGGGACCTGCATCGGTGCGGACTTGAAGGACGACAGCGTCACCACCAGCCCGATGATGTTGAGTGGGCCCCAGCACACGGCGAAGAGAACGAACACCACGAACATGGTGAGGAAGTTGCGGTAGTCGGCCACGGTGAGTCCGAGGCGCGCGTCATTCCTCGCGCGTCTGCGGACCTGCACCCACGCAGACGGTCATCGCGTCAATGTCACTGCCGTCGTGAAAACGAGCCAGGCAAAGCTGTCAGCAGGCCATTGTTATGACTTGCATTCCTCAAATCCCACAAAGGAATGCTGGACTCACTGTTTGTGGGTACACTGTCTCCAATATTTAGGGAATGTGTGAGCCTCCAACTGAAAGTATGATACCTCAACTACCATGGCATGGGTGCATCTGTACGCTTTTTTGTACTCTCGACATCATGTCATGTATGTATGTATGTTGAACTTCTTTCACACCCTATGTAGCCAACCGTGCTAACCGGAGGTGTGGGATAATGACAACAAACTAAACACAAAAAGCAGTTCATAAAGTAATTAGTTTTCAATCTAGATGATTTAAAAGTGCATAGCTCCCAGTGGCTTCATAATATCAAAAGGAAGAGCGTTCCAGACGGCCGCAAAAGTGCATCTGAAAGCTGCCACTCTACTAATTGGAGAGCCTTTTAAACAGTGTGGGGTCGGTGTCTGGTGTCTTGTAGAAGGTGCCTGTGGGTTAGTATGAAACAGGTTTGTATAAAAGTAAATAGAGAGAGGTAATACATGCAGCCATGTTTACATTCGTGCAAAGCCAGTTTATATTTATGAAGGTGAATACAAGGGGGCATGTGTGTGTGCCAGTCAAATTGTAAACTTTAAATATGATAAGACAGTGTACAGACCATTATATTAATTATTGTAGTGGCTGCTTTCATCTTTTATTAATCTTTTTTCAAAATTCCAGATTCTAAAGCATTGAGAGCACTCCAAATGATCATGTCACCCACTTGAATGTATTTTGTCCTGTTTCTGAAAGTATATAAAACAACAAGCTATTTTAACACAGAGTCGGCACTGTGTTGGTTAAACCATGAGGGGGAAATAAATCGAATGTTGTGGTAAACAACTTTATACTCCATTTGACTGGAGGCCCCAACTGCACCCCTCAACGTTTGGAGAGGGGAGGCAGAGAGCCCAACGCGGTGATGGCCCTCCACGAGTCACAGGCCTTCGTGGGCTTGCCCAACTCCACATGGCACCACCAATGGCTAATTGCCCACTTGACTTTAAAATCATACCCAGACATCTGCATTGCTCTGATTAATTGGTAACATTTAAATAACTCGCAGTGCAGACCATTTGAAATAGTGACCGTCAATGACTTAACTTTGTGAGGCCAATTTGGAGATTTCCGGTGCCGAGACAGCCTCAATATTATTTTGGCGTAAGCCGATAATTAATTCAACTTGAGACCACGTGTGTAGTTGCAAATAATAACAATAAGCAGAATAACTTCGACAATTTCTACAGCACCACAACATGGCAAGCCATTACAAGGGTGCTTTGTTATGAGACATAATAGTTTTTTGGAACCCATACAGTGAGAAATGCATCTGTGTGTGTCGGAGAACAGTCGTGGATGATGACTAAGAGCTCATTGTGAAGACGCTGCAAGAGGTCTCGATCCACCTGTAGGGAATACATCCTCCTTTTATATGCCCTGACATGAGTGTCTATCACATGTCTATGAATAATATATTGTTTAATTCTCAGAGCAGGAATATTCCGATTGAAGTGGCATACCAAATGGAATGGAATGTGTGTGTGCAATCATCGGCCACCAGTATGTAAAACCATTAACTCACTACACTTGAGATGAGAGTTCAATCACTTGTGGCCAAACCTAATTTGAAACCAGGATCTCGATGCTTCTAAATTATTCCTCTTGCTGACGTCCCACAAAGGAGTCGTTTTGTTGCTTCCCAGAGGAATGATGATCTGAGTTGGTGCCCTCCCAGCATTTAAATTGAAAGTCTTCTGATGTTGGGATGGGTGGTTAATCACCCGGTTGGATGGGAATGTATAATTGCACAACAGTGAAACACACTGCAGATGGAAAGTGAAATGTATTGTTTGCTAAGTGAGAATGTTCATCTGACAATGCAATGAAATTATTTCCAATAGACCTCTGCCTGCTGTCAGGCTTACGTTTGTTTGAAATATCCATAACAAACTGCGATAATTCAGAAGTGCTTTCATAACTTTATAATGATTAGGTATAGCATGGACTTTCTCGTGACAATTTCAGTGATTTGAATAAAATTAATACTTGTACAACATTGCATAACTCATACATTACAATGTAACATGTGGCACAGTGCTTCGAGTATTTTATAGAACACTATGAATTAATCTTGATTTGAATTATTCGTTTATTATTTTTTTTATGATATTCAAAACCCCAGTGCATTACACGTTTTCTAAAAGTTCCATAGTTGTAAATAAATGGGATGTTTTCACAAACGAATAATTGTTTTACTCCTAAATCCCTAACGGTCAAAAACACTTTTCCCACTCCGCATCTCCAGGTATTTAACGTAAACGTTGATTGTGATGTTAACGCGATCACGGTGATCAAAAGAGCAGAGTATTTATACGATGCGAGACGCAATAGAATTGTCTATAACTGCTTTAGGGACGGATTGAATGAGGTGTTTTTTCTGGAGTGAATTTTAAGCTTGAAACGAAGTTGTTTTGGATCGGGAGCCCTCATTCTGTTAGTAAGAATAATTGGCGGCTTTTCTCAAGAGAAACAGTCGCCCCATGGCACTTTGACTTGAGTCAGAGTCTAGTTGAGTTGCTGCACTATCACCTTTGATGATATGACGATTGTCACAATATCCCATAAATGTACAACTCTTTCACGTTTTTATTGCATGTTTTTGTGCTTTGCTGTAATTATAGTAGGAATAAAGAATCATCTAAACACTTTAACTGCTGCAGTTCACTTAACATAACTCTGTCACCAGTCTTATAAGCGTTCAACTTCACGACCTAAAACGCTAATACTGCACGCGGTTGTCAGTTACACATTAAATAAATAATCATTCAATGAACATGAATATAGTTACTTCATATAATTACCATGTCAATTGCTCTATTGAACATTTAGCAAAGCTTACTTGATTGGATAATAGCTCTTTACAACGTTGTATTACTGAGTATGTTATTTCATATATATATATATATATGTTGTCAGGACACGCCACGTTTGGTGACAAAAAAAGAGAAACAATAACCACACAACGATCATTTGAAAAACGGACGAAATGATTATTGTGGATATTATCTTATAGGGTAAATTGTCGTATCACGACATCATAGTACACAGAGTTCCAAAACGCCACAAAAATGTCCTTCAGTTACCACTAATTCCCAGATATTTGTGGTTACATGAACATTATTTGTCACGAAATTATATTTGGCAAGAGCTTAAATGAGTTAAATTTAATCACTAAGATTTGCAGCGACAAGCATTGATCTCTTAAATCCTGGTACCCGAAGCATTGAAATAAAATGTACTTTCACTGTGTCATCATTAGTGTGGTTTAAAAATATGAGTACCTTACGTGTTAATGTTGTATGTATGTATCGTATGTTGATCTTGTTTCGCTCCGTACGTAGTCAAACCGTGCAAATTTGGTGGTGCGGGTGAGGGACAACAAACTAAACACAAAAAGCACTTCTAATGAAATGAGTTGTCAAAAATAAGTTGTCAAAGCTAATTTCTTATTCGGAGAATACATTTTTTTTCTTCAGTGCAGGAAGATGTGAACGTCACCAATATTGGCACACAATGTATATTTTGTGTTCATTTCCAACTGTGATCTGTCATCTTCAGCCAGGTGGCATCTCGTTATTTCAGGTGCTGCAAAACACACGCTGTTCTTTTCGGGGCTTACTAGAAGCTGTGCAGGAGTAATCAAACATATATTTTAAAAAACTGCAGTAAAATATTGTCATTAGAGCACCTGCAAATAAATGTCCTCATAACGGAGCCTTGGCTGTACAAATCCATCACTGCTCATTAGAAATTACTGTAATAGGCGACAGTTGACAACACAGCTTCCCACGGTCATAATATATGCATAACTAAACATGAATAAGCTGCATCTGCTGATATTTGTAGGACAATTGTTTAGGTTTGGAAGGCCACTGGGGTTATTGTTGGTTAGCGTTCCAGCTCAGTGCACCTTTGTCTCGACGTTCCGGCAAGCCTTCAACCTTTTCAAAGCTGACAGAGTATGAGGTTCAACAATTATCTTCAGCTCCCATGTGTCGCATAAGATGCAGCGAGCATTCATGAGTAGTACATATTCTGAGTTTAATTCACTTTTCCTAGAACAGCGAGAGCACGCACAGGATCCCCCTGTCCTGTATCACTGATAGATTTGACTTTAATCAAGAAAAAATAGGTTTAGAGTAAGCAATAGCGCACATTCTGTAGTGCATGTAGCCGGTGTGAGCTCACCCGTCATTAATCACACGTATAATTGTGCACTCTGCTAATAGCGAGGGATAACCAGGTGCGTGTTTTATTATTCAGATAAGGCGGTGATGCTCGGCACCACCAGGCGGTGATGCTCGCGGATTTGACGCAGAGCCCCACGAGGCACGCGCCTAATTGAGATTTGGGAAAACTTCGGACTGAGGAATCGACGCGGAGGGTGGCTCTGAACGCCATTGCAGATACGCATTTGCCTTTCTGAAGAAGCCCTTTCACAAACCCCGAGGACTCAGCTGTTGTGGAGTCGCCCCACTTCTCCGGAGAGCAGAACACGACACAGAGTCTCTACTCACCGTCTTTTTATTGTTGTTATTGCTGCTGCTGTTGTTGTCTATTTAGCCGACCTGTCCCCCTCGCAAGGATTCACGACGGGAGGAGAGGGCACAGGGCGGACCGGCTAAGTCTACATCGAGAGCCGTTTCAATCCACTGCTAGATGAGGACCTCGCTACGCCCTGTGGTCGTGGTGGTTATTGATCCACACTTCACCGTAGTGGTGAGTGCAGGTTTATGTAAGTGGGGAGCATCACGACATGACTGGAGATTTTTTTTATTAATCTGACATCGATTATATTAAGGATGCGAAAAGTGATAACATGCACATTTATGTTCTTTAGTTCGAGTACTAATCAACTTCCCCCAGTGACATGCAATGATTATTACAGTGCTAACGGAACACTCTCTCCTTTGCTCTAAGCCATGTGTCTTTAAAAAAGCCATCATTATTATATCGTGTGTGAAATTGCAGAAATAGCTTCAGTTCAGTTGATGCAGGGCACACCTGTATATGTGAATGTGGCATCTTGAAATGGTAAATTAATTAAAACCCTTTTTGAAATGCCACATTTAAATTCACATCTTCAACAATTAATTTGCCTCACAGTACACTCCTGGAAAGCCGTATCGTGGATTCGGGAATTATTCCCTTCGTAAAGAATCAAATTAGAAAATTATATTTTAAATAATTTAGGCAAGTTGTGATTTCACTGTATTTACTACACAGCAGGATGCTAAGGGCCACTTTTCATATAATTTCATCCCTGCGTTTAGGGTTTTGTGGTTTAAAAGGCATGTGGTGACATTCTGGGAGCACTTTCCCTGTCATGTAGGACATTTAAAGTCGATTGAAATAGAAATTGAAACAAATGACAGGTTACAAGAGGATGAAGAGGATTACTTAAAAAAAACATGGTGAGAGTTTGAAATCGTGAATTTCCACTGTTTTGGCACGATTCAAATTTAAACTGGTTTGTCATTGAAAACCCAATGTCATTGAAAACCCAATGCAAAATGGAACTTAATGCAGATTCATGCAGATACTTGGTGTCCCTGAGAGGTATTTTAGTAAACAGCATGTAATTAACAATATGATAATATATAGATACTTCCACCGCTGGATAACAGCGTATTCAATTCTCAAACCACTCAAGGAATGACCTTTTGTGCAATATGGCTGTCAGTTTGCGCACAACTTTGTTGTTGTTGTTGACATCGCTTTTGTGAAATAATTCAGAATTAAATTGTGATATCTTTCTGATAAAACGTTAATTTTTAGTTAAAAGTAGAGGTTTGCACGTAAGTGATGAAGCATCAAAAACCATGTAAAATAAATAATGATGACCGTGTTCAGCTCTTTGTCAATCCACTGCTGGAGAACACAACGTGAGCTCACCACACCTGATCATCCTGGGCAAGGAGAAGCCCGAGATGGCTTAGATATCACTCATCACTGACGTTAGCCTTGGCCGAGAATCCAACTTGGATCCCTGGTTTCATAGCGCAGTGATGAAAACTCCAAACAGCTTACAACATTCTAATCGGAACCCACGTTGTGTTTTTTTTTACTCTTGCATTCCAAATCCCACCGATGTTCACTCGACGGGGGCTCTAGAGAGCTCCTCTAGAGGGTACATGATCCACCCTCGCGCGCTGGGCAGCCTGGGCAAGGTGGGAGGACGTACACTTCACCAGCTGTGGAGTTCCCATTCATTGCGTTGGGGGGACAAAGGTGGGTCAAGTGAAGGAAGCTGCTCAACAGTCTCAACTGCCCCGCCAGGGACTGAGCCGCCGCTCTGTGTGTTGCACGCCCAGTGTGCCGAGCCATGACACCGAGGTGTCGTGGTGCGCCACATTGGGGGTTTCAGCCAGGAAACAGGAACGAGAGTGAAAATTGCACATAGAGATCGAATGTGTGTTCGGGCGCCGTCTGTGAAATGCTCGGTTTTTTTTTTATAATATCCAGCGTGGTGGTTTTCACCGGTTTGAATCGATTGGGACAATTCAATTGATTCTTGTTTCTGTAAAGTTATTTAAGGTGTCACAGTCAGGATTGAGTGTTGTGGGAAATATTGATCAAAAGGTAGAGTAGGGTGGCAGTTGAGAACGGATTTTTCTTTTACGAACTGGCAATTTGGTTTACTGAAGCGTGGTCAACAACTCCATTAGCCAGACAACTTGTTGGTGCAATCCGGGTGGGTAAATGCTGAATGTATTTTGAAAGATCCGTGTGTACACGTTTGAAATGTGTGGTGTGCCTTTCTGCACCATAGCTCAAATGGTAGACATAAACCTGTTTCCATGGAAACCATGTCTTGTATGCTCTGGCAGAATAATCTGGAGGTCGCCGGTTTGATCTCCTCGCATCTTTCCACCGAGCAGTTTGTGAATGGGTGCAGTTAGTTAAACGGAAGGTCACATGTCGTGGCCATGTTGGCCAAAACAATCTGGCCACCATGGAGGAGTAGGCCAAATACCCTCCAGAGGAGCTTCTCCTGAATGGAGGCCCTTTTTGCCAGCAGTGACATGCGACAATAATTTTAGGAATTTACTTTTGCACCAACTGGTTCGAAAATGGTGTAACCCATCATTTGCAAACGCAATCATATATCCTCAGTAGACTTTGGGTACTTCGTATTTTAGATTTAAATATTGATAAATATTCTAAATTGGTCTAATTTGTATAAGCATTGCCACGGTAACCACCAACAACCTAACAACCGGAGGTCATGCATTGTGAGAAAATATACTCTATTCTTCCCAGAATTTATCCCAGTTTATTTCTATTTACGTGACTTTACCGAAAGAACCAAAGAGTATGTATATCCCAGTTTCTTTTGGTGCCTCAGAGTCAACAACCCTCTGTGGAAGAGGAGCTTTCAGTTCAGTAAAGGAGAGCAAACACGAGCATCGTTTTGTGATGCACAGTGCAGTGAAACCATTACCGTGTTTCCACCACTACTACATTGTATTATGGATGGGTATTGCCTGTATTATGGATGGGTATTGCTGCCTGTGTGTGTTAACCATAAAAGACATGCCATCTGCATCACAGCGGTCACTAGAGAGGCCGTGACTTCATAAAAAATAAATAATATAAAAAAAACATTTGTAAAAACACGAAATGTACCGTACTAGCAATGGAAGAACTCCATGACTCCAGGAAGTGGCCCCGAAGCTTGCCATAACGTAAGGGGCTGTGGCCAATTACAGCTAACTTCAGTTGAGCGTGGACAATTAGACCCAAGCCGAAACATAACATATACAAATTATGTTTAAATGTTTTTTATTTTGTATGATGGAATATAGTATTGTCATCAGTATGACATAAGTATTCCAAGTTTGCAATGAATACCACTTTGGGAAGTGGGTTAAAATTGAGATTTGAGGATACAACGACAACGACAACAGACAGAGTGAGTTAATAGAAAGCGTGTAAAAAATAGTCGCGTCGGTGCCATGGTCCAAATTTGTAGAAAAACAACACTTGCAAAATACTTGATTGGGAAACACACGGCAATCGCCTTCTGCTGGGCGAAAAAAATAAAACTTAACAGGACCATGGGGAAAAACATTCTTGGAACTCACCGAGGCTTTGCTCGGTAAACAAATTCATCATGAAGGAGGAGAAGTGATGGGGGGTGGCGGCGGCAAGGCAGCCTGACCTGGATGACGAGCACCCAGATGCGCAGGTAGCAGAAGACCACCACGCCGATGGGCAGCAGGAAGTGGAAGAACACCACGGAGACGGTGTAGGCGGTGCTCACCGACTGCGAGAACGTGCACGAGTAGACGCGCGCGTCGTACTGCAGCGAGCCCACGAAGAGGTTGGGCAGGATGGCCGTGAGCGTGAGGAGCCATACCCCAGACACGTAGGCCAGCGTCTTGCGCGTGCCGTACAGGCGGTCGTAGTGGAGGCTGTGGCAGATGTAGCAGTACCGATTGAGCGCGATGGCCATGATGTTGAAGACCGAGCCGATGACGCTGAGGCCCATGAAGAAGCCGCTCATCTGGCAGTGGAGGTCTCCCATGGTCCAACCGTCGTGGATGATGGCTTGCACCACCAAGGGGTACGGGTATACGGCCACGAGCAGGTCGGCGACTGCCAGGCTCACGACGAACACATTGCCTGCACGCGACATGACCTTCCGTTAAGTTGGTAAAGAGAAGTCACCAGTCGTGGACTTTGGTAAAGGTACAGACCCGCAGTTGCTTGCTCACACAACTGCTGATGTGAAGGTGTTTTTGCCTACTCTTCCACGCTGGCCAGACTTTATTGTACCCCATGCCACCAGCCGATCAACTGCGGTGCACCCATTATTACTGTTGGGTGGATGCAGGCAGGGGATCTAAGACACTTTTACCGTTATTCTTGGTTCTTTCGGTAAAGTCACGTATTTTATTATTTCCCTTCTACGTGACTTTACCGAAAGAACCAAGAATATGAATCCATGCAGTCACGAAAGCTTTAAATCGAAACTTTTACCGTTGTTTCAACTGCTGTGCCTGGAGATCAAACGGGCGATCTGGATTTCACGTCCACTGTGATACCTTTCATACCACGGCCATGTCATATTCTTATATAAAATATACAAACACAGTTGATACCTTAGGATAATTGTGATAAAGTGACTTGCTATGTTGTGCCTGATCTTATTCACTCCATGCGTTATCCACAGTGACGTTTAAGACTCTCCGTGTATATACGTATGCATCAAATGCAGCAGACCATATTCTTATTAGTGGATTGTAAATTACTACAAAGGTATCCGTGGAATGGCATTTTACACATTAGTATACGTACTATAACAGTAATAAAGTATATCAGTAATTTCCTGTTAAAAATAATATTGTGATGGTGCTCATCTCCTGTATACAGCCCGAAGCCAGTGGTGGAAATTCCCCATTCATATGGCGAGTTACCCGCAGACCAGCCGCTGTCAACTTCACCACAAAGTGCGACTCACTTTATCAACCCTTGGAGAGATGATGGACTAAGTCAACCACAACGCAGGAGTTGAACTCTCAACCTCCCGATTTGTGCCAGCAGAACGGGTGTGTTATATTTGTCATTTATTTATCATGAAAAACAATCACGTGCTTACTTGGTTGTTGTGTAGACAATTTTTAGATTCAGCTCTCAAGCATAATTGGCCTATATTGAGAAGAAAGCACACTTTTTGTATGGTCGTTTTATGGAATGATACATCACTGGTACATGCCATTGAAAACACATTTATGAACACACATTAGAATCTGCCCTTACTCACAATGACCTCTTTATTACATAATTGCTTTGGGAACCGAGTGCATATCTGAGAGCTACCTACTTTGGTCACAAGGAGATAAAACATCTTTGTTGAATCACCAAATTATTATTTTATTCACAAAAAATAAAGCTCTCATGTATATATGTGCATATCTAATTCTACTGTGTATCAGGGTGATGTGATGCAAATTAGATGTGTACAATTCCTATGAATGACGCATCTGCAGTTTTATTTATTCCACGCTGCTTTTGATGGCAATCGTTGTAATTTTCACAAGGCCAAAATTTACTTTTCCAGTCGCATTTCCCACACGGGAATGATGATTTCAAAAGTGGATGAAACAATTGTATTGGAATGCATCGTGGCATTCTTATCAATGGCACCGTGGCTAGCAGCTGGTCCTTTTGCTGCTATACATTTCCAGATGAGAAGCCACTCTGTTGAGCTATGAATTGTGGTCAGGTCACTTATAAAAGAAAGTGAACACCTCAGTGGGCTTGGCCTAGTAGGATGGGGATGGTTGAGTTTTATTTGTTTGTTTTTGGGTTATTTGTTTGTCTTGTATTTTGCACGACTATCGTGTATTTTTACTCTTTGTTGTTGTAACATTGTTAAACTCCTACTGGACATCTGTGAAAAAGAGCTTTAGAGCTCATGGGATTCCTCCAGTCTAAAATAAATATTCATATTTTGTTTATGTGCGGTGCTTACGGGGTAGGTAGACACCACCTAAAATGGGGTTTTAGTCCTTCAAGGCAGAACGTTCTGTACAGGTTTCTGTTGATCATAGACGTATATATCATGTTTTTGCTACTGTAGTATTGTACAGACAGACTCTTCAACGTCTTTTAGTAGCACACACTTTATTTGTGAATACAGTCCCTATGCACTGAGGGGTATACGGTCCCCTCACCCGTTACACTCCGAACGTACAAGCCTACAGGCTACTCATACCCCGCTCCTTCAGTGTCCTCTGACTGGACCTAGGGAGATGTCTCCCTGACCACTGGTTACTCTGAACCCTAGCCCTTATAAGGGCTGGAGGGCTTGGTCCAGGGTCCTATGCTTCTTCCGCCGTCTTGGGTCTTCGTGTCGTCGAACTCCCCGAGAGCTCTGAGCGTTCTGGCTTTATACTCGTTCGTGGCCGGGTTGTCCAATCCCCGGCCACCTTGTGGAACCCTGTGATTGGTCGTTCCCAATCTGCTTTTCGATCCCAATTCACCCTATCTGACCCTGACCGTTAGGTCGCGCGGGAAAACCTTGTTTACGGTCAGCTCTCACAACTTGTGAGACCCTGACCGTTAGTTTGAGCGGGAAAACCTTGTCAACGATTAGCTCTCCCAGTTTGTGAATATCGAGTGGGTAACTCTACTACACTACCATTAAATAATTGTGCCATTAATAGCGAGTAATTCTCCGACTTAATCATCTTAAACACTGGGTTATTTTTTTTCTTCCAAAAAAATCCCCTATTTAGCCTTTAAGGGTGTTTCGGCAAGCTTTGATAGGAAGCAAGCAGGCAGGCATGGCAGAATTGAGATTTTACGTAGAACTATGAGCAGCCGCCCATGTCTCCATCGGGTTAGTCACACACTTCACCACTGGGTACGCCTTTAATGCGGAGATGTCCGCGAGGAAGCTCAACTCATGTCCAGGGACCAAAGCCACTCGGGTTGATCGTGGCATTGAATTTAATTGTGGGCATCTGGATTTTTGTGGCACACGCATCAATAACTACGCCACTGCCTTGTCAGACCTCACTAAGTCTCTTGACATGTCAAGTGGGTCATGGTAGTCACGGAAATCATGAAATTGTATGGAATGTTGTAAATAGCTGTAGAAACGTGTTAGATTGTGGAATTATTTCCATTTCAAGATGCTGTATGTCATGCAGGGTGGGGGTATGGCGGGGGAAAGGGGGCATTAGGATTCCCCTATGTAAAATTAGTGTCCCATGTTTAGATAGATTTTTTTAACTAATTCTTTCGAAATCTATACGAATAGATTCGTAATGCCAAAAACAGTCAAATTACTTTTGAAAGCTGCTTGATTCAAGCTTTTTCTCCCTTTAAATGGTTATTTTAAAAAAATCTATTAAAGATGACTACATTTATTTATTATTAAAAAGCAAATTTTAGGTGGGGCACTGTCCCATCTTTTTTCGTAACCTAATCATCACAAATTACCGTGTTTTATTCATAAATTATATATCACCACAGGTATCCATCGGTTTGTAAGATTAATAAAAAAGTGAAGGCAGCAGACTGTCAAATCCTTTTGTGTAAATGTATTGGATTGGAATCGCATGAACAGTCCCTATTGTCCAGTGCAACGCTAACTGCATAACCCAATATTCGTTTGTAAAGATGATGATTAACCTCATTCGAGGGGCCACCAACATCTTATTTTCCCCTTAAATTATATTTTCAACACCATGCTATGCTTGGCAAAAACACTTCCTTAAAAGGGGAAACATAAAAACGCAACATGTTGAATAATGGCCCTTCTTGACAACACACAGATATGGAGTGTGAATAATCGTTGGAAACTGCACTGGGCATATTAACAATGGACAATTTGAATATATTAAGTTCCAGACAGACCCTTAAAAATTTAAAATGTATGCATAATCATTTGTAATTACATTTACATTATCATAAGTTGTCGTCTTCATAAAAGAAGCATGATTACGCTTGTTTACCCAGGGGAGTCTCATTATAATATAGTTTTAGTTTTTAACATTATCGTTTTTGTTTCTCCCATTACAGGGAACACGCCTGAGAGGGTACCCACAAAGTAAACGGAGCAATATCAGATGCTCTGCAGGAGCGAGTTGAATTGTTGTATACGGTGACCACGAGGGAGGGTGACGGCTTGGAGAGTCCTTCATCCAGCAGTGGATAGACCATGGCTGCGGATAATTCATGGGTCATTTGAGCACCAAGCTCGGTCGAAGGAAGAGAGATAACGATGTGAGGATAATGTTTGTGCCATTGAAGTGAGTGACGAGAGAGCTCCTATCGGAGATAAATATTACAAACATGAAAAAAAGTAATCTAGCAGATAGACATGGCCAAAATAGAGAAACATTTAAAATCAGAAAGGAAATGTACTTGTTTCATATAAAAAATCAAGGTCAGAAGGTGGCAGAATTTATACTAACTCTACGCAACAAGTCCTAATGTATACATATTTAAATTTGTCACTAAAAATGAGTATACTGTACAAGGGTCAGAATAAACATATAAGGGATTTGAAACATCCATTATCTGTGTTTGAAGTCTTGTTGAGATTTATGAAAAATGTTTACAGACATCTTGTATTGAATTAATGTAAAAAATGCATGCATCTGGGAACAGGTCAATTGTAGGCTATGTAACAGAAAATGTAAATACAAGTAGAAACATTACCATTCACTTCGTGTTTGAAACTAATCCTTTGGCATTATTTAGAATTTTAAAATATCATTGCTCAATGCCCATGAATCTCAAGTGATCTCCTTGGCTTAGAATACTACTCCAGCTGCTGCAATGTACATTGTTATTTAAAAAAATTAATCGGCATGGCTTATTAAAGATCCCCACTTGCCTGTCCCACTTAGCAAACGTTCTCTAGGTTTATAATGTCTACAACACTGTTCATTGCCGTGAATGTCTACAACACTGTTCATTCCTGTGAATGTAACACATCAACATAAGATACCTGCAGCGTACAATCATTCACGCCTGTAAACATTGTAATTCTTCTTTGTATCTATTACATAATCTGCCTCTGTACATAGCGGGTATTCCAATAATAGTGAGTGGGTGGTTTATAGTACCATTATAATAAGGCAATATATTAGTCAACGTTTAGACGA